GGGAATTGAAAAAAAAAAAACAAAGTGAAAAAAATTACCCCCACCAACCCCCCCCAAAAGGGAAAGAAATGAAAAAAAAAAGATTTAAAAAAAAAAAAAAACGCAACATTGAAAGTGGTCATCTTTATTTCAAACCTGAATTGTTAGTTGTAGATATTTTAAGTTTTAACGCCACATGCGTTTTATCCTTTATCACAGGAGGAAAACTTTTACTCCATGTTGCACAAAAAGTGTCGCGATTTTGGGACTAGAACTAGATACTGGAAACCTTTCTTAGAACCAATATTCCGGCTCAGATAGCTTCACAATTTCAGCAGCAAAATGCGCATCTATGAAGGAGTATTGACTACTGGATAACTTTGGGATATGACTTTAACCTCACTTTAAATTTAAAACCAAACATGCGAATGCCTTTGCGCCACGCGCCCTCCCAAACCCAACCCGATTAACTCCCCATGTAACATTTTTTTCTAAGGGCCTGTTTACGTGGAGGTGGGGGACCCCAGGTAGGTGAGGTAACCAGCTTAGGTGGGATACCCCGACTGTCCATACAATCCCTCGTATGGTCACCCCACGTAAACGTGATCAAATTAAAATAAGAGATTATATGGACAGTCGGGTTACCTCACCTACCTGGGTTCCCCCACCGCCATGTAAACAGGCCTTAAGATACTTGTTGTCACCCAAGTAAAATATGCTTTACTTTGGGCGCGTTCGTTTGACCGTCAGAACAAGAATAAATGGAATAAACTTTTAGAAATTATCTGTGTAGGCAATTCATCACATCATACCATCTCCAAATCTAAAAATACATTATTAAGATGTATGTAGCATTCCAGTGGTCTAAGAAACCTGCTGGTAAAAGAGATTTGTCACAAAACTTTTTTGCATTTTTATTCCGGAATAGCGTCAATCGAACACACCTTGATCGGTCATCTCTTTTCGTGCTATTTCGTGCTATTTTAAACCATTGAGGTGAAGGCAGCCTCGTCACGCCACGATAATTCGACACTACAAACGGATGTTTTAAGTTTTTGTGTCACGAGGTGACCTCTTAAAAAATCCATGAAAAAAATTGTTTTTGTCTTACTTGGGCAACAAGTACGAACTAGAACTGAGGCAAGAATTCAGGTCAACTAGATTTGCAGCTAATAATCAGTCAAAGGAATCGTCATTCTCACTTTCGTCATGTAAACTCTCTTTGTGTACGTATTCTTCTTTTAGGTTAAGGCAGTCGCAGGGTTTATAGGCCAAGATTCCTTCTAACAGCTTTCGCCCACTGGAAACCATACTTCTGTCTGACAGAAAGTGAATAACGAGGACGAGATTGTTGTCAGGAGACAAGACTTCGCTCGCATACTTCACCTGCTCCAGCACGTGCGCTTGGAAAAGAAGGTGATGCTTGGCATAGACATTGCATTCCCAGTGAAGCCATTTGTTCCTGCGAGACAGACGCCCGTGGCTAAACGATTTGAACGGTTCGTCATCCTCGGTGTTATCCACAATTATCTTATCTCCTTCTTTAAGCATGGCACCCACGTTCGAGCGCGAAGCCTCGAGAGCCAGACCATCGATGGTGAACACTTCCTTTGGGAACAACACCCCTGATATGATCTCATCTTCAAACTCCTCCCTGCTACAAGACCTAACCTGCACCCCAAGCCGATCTTGTTCCTGGTTCACTTTTTTTAGGTCCAACTTAGTCTGATCGATATAGTAGGCTAGGGTGTCTTGTTTGAAGAGAACCTTGTCGGCGAACAGTTCTTGTCGGCTCGCGTATACCTGTTTTGGAGCGTAGAATAACTCTCGGGAGACATTAGGGTAGCTTTCACGAATGTATTCTCTGTTTGCTCCAACCAACTGAGTCTGTAGTCCCTGGCGTCGAAACTGGGGATGAATCCTCTCGGCATCGCATGACGAACTACGCCCTTCGTTCACGACGACGAACGTGCGAAAACCAACGACTCGATCGCCTAGCTCTGCTACAAAAGAGGAACGTTTCGGTTCTGTTAGCCAGTTTTTAAATCTGTTAGGAATACAGTCATGCTCTGCTTCAAATCTATCTTCGTAAGTCACTCGAGAGAGATTTACCACCGCAGTGAAGTCGCTTTCGGAAGCTGGACGGATTTCGAGATGTTTCATTTTGGATTTTTAAATCTGGGATCGGCTACAAGCACAGCGTATAACGTGGTTCTCTGACCAAAGATAGTACTTATGCTTTCACAATTTTTTAAAGAAATTTGAGATAATAGCTCATTGTTAAGTACAATCGCATTCTTCCAATTGGTTACGTGTCACTTACAAGGTAATTATACTGTCTTTTATAAACAACATAAACAAGCTCCAAATTGCAACATTGATCTGTTAGCAATTTGTCGAATCTAACTCAAAGAAAAAGACATCTAACAATCTCTAGAGCTCGTCATAAGAATAGCAAACGGCTTGAAGTGATTAAAACAAAGAAACAACTTTTGTCAGGTGTTGGTTTGGAGGCCATCTTTATTCTGAGCGCATTTTACGGCTTGTTGAGCAATTACTGAACAAATCACAGACTATAACAGCTATAAGCTTCCTTTTGAAGTGGAAATTTTTGTTTCAGAAGTACTAGTCTCACATTCTGTCGCTCCAAAAAGAAAACAAAATGCACAGCAGCGTGTTTTATTTCTGCTTTGGATTAAACACAAATATTTATACAATAGCTACTGCCAACTGAATAAATATTGATGTTTATTGATTAGAAAAGAAAGCCGAAATTAAGAGGAATATCAGCTGAGATTGCAAATTGTGCATGTTCAGGTGCCAAACGTTTTTGATTTCGCAGTCTTAGCAAAATTACAGCGAAATTAAGCCATTTAAAGAAGGTTTCTGTATAGAAATTATTTGGAGTAAAATTAGTTTGCAAAGCTGCAGGCGAAAATCTGCTCAGGGTCGATAAATCTTTCGTGTAACGCGGTCCTTTAGGACAGGCAAAAGGCTTATCACTCCCTGTCTTCCCTTGGTCTCAACAGGCGATAAACGATAGCACCGAATTTTCTTCAAAGACTTCTAATGCATTTTCGCTTTACGTAACGAGCATTGCTCGCAATTTCTGGCTCACGGGTTTGGGCCGAGTCTGTGCCATAGTTCAACACATTTAACTGTCTTCTCGTCATTCGTGAAGAATCATATACCATCCACACACTTGAAATTAGGGGAACACAACCTTCCGGCAATGGGGCGTCGGTACGTAAACTCATTAACCGCTTCAATTTGTCAAGAAAGTATGGAGATAGAGTACACTTTCATTGAGACAATAGGGTCATTTATACGCAGGTGACATAAAACTTGACCGAAAGACGCGTCTTTTATTACGAATCTTAGATAGGACATGAAGTGTGCCCCCGGGCGGGAGTGTGCCATTTACACAAGGACAAAAGATGAGACTTTGCAAAGTCGCGTCTTATTTAATACGGACGTACAGAAATGGGAAATTTGTACGAAATGTTTACGTCTCGTCGTGAGGAATTTTTCCTCCTCAGAGCATAATGTTTGTCTATCTAATGAATTGAGCTTTTGTGTGAAGCAGAGGTCTAGCAACGCTATAGCAATTATCTTGTAATGATAAGAAGTGTTAGACAAACATCACAGGATGGATACTGCCAAGGATACTGCAGAACTGAAGCGAACGGATGAGAATCTGGAAGGTAACCGGTCAAGTCGCCCGAAAGTCATCTCGCCCGAAGTCATATCGCCCGGAACCAGAGTTATGTCGCCCGAAATACATAGTCATGTCGCCCGCAATTTTACCGAGTGTATAAACTTGAAGAAAAGTAACATCTTAAGTAAATCGCAAGGAATAAACTCGTAAAATGTTCACTCGCTAACCTATGCAAATATGAAGTTAAACAAAGACTCCAACATCGCTGTTCATTCAAGATAATGTTCATTCTGGAAACGAGAATGAACATTATCGCGAATTATCGCGAGGGCTCGGGCTCGCGCGCTAACCGCGCGAGCATGCGAACGAAGCTTTGTGACCACGCCTCGCACGGAAGTGAAGGTGAAAGGAAGGTTAAAGCGTAGTGGAATTTTAGCAATTATTAACTGTCTGAAGATGAGCGATCCTTGCTCCTTTTCCGCTCCAAGTGAGTGTGAATGCACTCACATCAATTGGTTCGTGAACGTGTTGTTCGAGAAACACATCCTCGACTGCCGCGCAGAGCTGGAATTTGAGGTGAAAAAGAACAACGTCGAAAAGCTGGTGAGTATGGTGCTCGTCTTTGACTGCGCGCTATTGATCATCAGGTCTTCTTGTCCCCAGAGGAGAAAAATAATAATTATAGCTAAATTTAAAATTATTCTAAGATGTCTATTCAGGAACTCCCCTTAAATGAAAAGCACAGTCAGTAACTGCTGAAAACTGAAAAACTCCAAATGTACTTACGGTCAGGAAGCTTTATACAGCTGTAAAGTGTTTCCCAAAAGAAATGCCCTGGGGGTGATACGAGTAAGTTTGACCAGTGCTTTATTGAAAGGCCTTTTCGAAATTGAAATTCTTTATTCATATGTTGGCTCATATAGTTTGTTACATGATGTTTGACAAGTGTACACGTGTACAGTGAAGTCTTGCTCTCCAACCAAGAAAGTGCCCCCCACCCCCCTTCCCCGCCACCCCCACCTCACCTGGCCTGTTGTATCCATGGCTCATTGTGGAGGCCATGTTAGAGTGAACAGCGACATAGGACAGCAGAAATGTGGAGAAACGATTCAAACATGGGTAGAAACTGTGACAGCAACAAAGAAAATCCCAAATACATTTATGATAAAATAAAAACAGCAAAATGGCTTCCCTCCCTAATATGCAAAACAACAGGTTTTGTAATTCAGACTAGGGATATTCTTAGCCACCCAGGAGGGCCCCATTCATGCTACAAGGATTTTTTATGTAACATCATTTCTTGAAGGATGTGGGAGTGAATGCCGCTTATGCTTAGATTAACTGAACTGGACGTACGCATATTTACTTATTCATTTTAGCATCCGAGCTCATATATGCATTTAGTTTTTATATTGTAAAATTAGAACTTAGCTTCAAAGTGTTAAAGAGTAAATTTAGAACTTAGTTTTAAAGTGTAAAAGAGTACTTAGCTTGAATAGTGTTAATTTCTGGCTTTTTTTATATGTTTTATAGTATTTAATTAGTTTCTTTTAATAATGTAATTTAGTTTTAAAGGTGCCCCCAATTAGTGCCAATAGGCACTAGAACGATTAGACACTTTAATAAAGGTTATGTATGTATAATGTATGTAAATAGCCAGCTCTGAATGTAGCAATATTCCCATTACATGCTTAATGTAATTACTTGTCCCTTTAGAGACAGATCACAAGCTTGCTTACTAAGAAATTAAGAGTATCACCTTTGCTGTGTTTTATTTTTCAGGTTCTTGATACTCGTGATTTAACCATCAGTCAAGTTACAAATGATGCAGGAGAGATCTTGAAACATAGCCTTGGTGATGAGCACCAGGCATTTGGAAAACCACTAAACATTGAGTTACCTAAAGGCCTGAAAAGGTAAAAGTTTCCTTGTTATCATTCCTGCTATACGTACCTGCTGTAGTTACAAGTTTTACATCAAAAAAGCATTCATTATAATGGGGTTTATTTTATTGGGGTCATGTCTTTTCCTGGGGTGTGGCAGTGGTTAAAGTACTTCTCAGCCTTCCAGTGCATGCTGTCAGCCTTTTCTGTTAAAATATATCTGTGTAGTTCTTATCTCAGCCGGCGCGATTGCAAACCAAGACGTTATGTTACAATGAGAGATAAGGACGAGATGACAAAAGACGGACTGCGAACACTTTTGTAGTAAACAAACCCTCCGTCAGCCCAGAAATGGAGTAGCTGATTGGTCAATTTTACAGCTGTTGACAGATCATTGACTGGTCTGTCATGAGATTGCAAGCGATAAAAATAGTCACACGTCATAACTAACTACAAAAAATAACGAACCAATTCAAGCTGTAAAAGAAAAATAAGAGACTGCTCGCAGTCTACCTTCTGCCAATGTGGCCTGGACTTAAAGCCCTGGCAGAGGCAATGTCATAAAAATATGTGAGTTGAGTTCCCTAGGTAGTTCAGGGTACTCCAGTTTTCCACTCTCCTGAAAACCAACATGATTTGTAAAATGGTAGACAAGAAACCACACCATAGATGTGCCACCCATAAAACATTATTTACTCTTTTCTGTGTATCTTTTAATTTTTGCCTTTAGTGGTTGCAAGGTGGTAATCAAGATTAGTTACCAGACTTCCTCAACTGCATCGGCTGCACAATGGCTTACTCCTGAACAGACTGCTGGGAAAAAGTATCCCTACTTCTTCACTCAGTGTCAGGTGAGGATAAAAAAAAATATGATAATAAATAAATTATCTTAAAACTTTTGCAAATTTCGAATTTTGATGTTTGAACTGTTATCTTTCTTTTACAGGCAATCCATGCTCGTAGTCTTATCCCATGTCAAGACACACCCTCTGTAAAGACATCATATCAAGCAGAGGTAGGCTAGTTTGGATTTTACAAGACTATATCTTTTTCAAAACAAAAAAATGCTGTCTGGTTAGCTCAGTTAGATTTGTGCCAGTGTGCCAAGCAAGAAACTATGGGTTCAATCCCTGGACCAATCTGAGGAGAAAGCGCTGCCTTTGTAATTTCATCTGCAAGTGGCTAGACAAGTCTTCTTTAGGATGAAAAACTGTAGGCCCCATCTCGTGGCCCTTGTTCTCATAAAATCTGGTGGAATGTTAAAGGACCCAATACACACTGTCTTTTGGTAAAGAGCAGGGTATGCATTCCCTTGTGTGGTGTTCTATCTCAAATTCACTTTTACAGGGGAAAAGTTCACAAACCATTACTTACAGTGTAACAATAATAATTATAAACTGCACTATATTAGTAGCCTAGCCAGTAGCTAAGGGCCAACCAGGGCGCAGTAACACTATCCAATCAATAAATCTCTATCCAGTGAATAACACAATTGTTTTCCCTGATACTTATCTACTAGATAGTGATTTGCTTGGTAGGGGCGGGGGGAGTGGTTAGAGGGAGGGAACTTCTCCGAAAGCAAAGTATATCCTTTCAGAAAAGGGAAGAGGCAAATTAACCATCTTACCCTGCAATATACAATTTATCAATAGAAAACTCTGCATTAATTGTGCGGGAACATAAATAGAATGTTGTCTCTATTAAAAGGTGACAGTTCCTAAGGATCTTGTTGCTCTGATGAGTGCAGTAGGAACAGGGAGCTCTGTACATACACAGAATCCTGATTTGATGGTGTTTACATTCACTCAAAAGGTATTTTACATACATATGCATTTCAAGCGTCCTAATCACAGGCTCTTATATTGCCACGGCCTAGTGGTAATGTAAAAGAGGTTTCCTTCGAATGGTCACACTATAGGATTTCACCTAATGTGAACCAACCTGTACAGTACTGATAGGATACTGGAGGCCTGGCCCAAAAGGGTACCTTTTTTGACTTCAAGAATGAGAAAGGGAAGAAATTTCAGCAGAAAATCTGTCATTTTGGTCTGTGAACATTATAAAGCCCAAAAGGGTTAACAGAAGAATTTTATAGCTGTGAAAAAGTAGGAGAAAATGTTCTGGTGTCGTGATTTATTCACATTTAAAATAATAATAGTGCATTAACACACGGTGGTTATAAGGCATGCAAAGTTCTAAACTCGAGGTATGTGATCGTGAAAGGGGTATACCATTTTGTCAACAATTGAAGGTATTATGAAAGGGGTACCTTTTCTGCCAAGAATAGTATATACTAGAAGGCTAGGGGGTTGGACCTTTGGGTGCAGCCTCCCTGTATTAAACTTTTTTGAGTTCCTCTTGGTTTACTATCATCACAAGTTACATCCCTATCACATCTTAGTCTAGTTTCATTATTGTGAGATAGGTAAAAAGGGGAGCTGATAATCAAAAGGAAAGAGATTTTATATAACCTCCCTTTTCATTTCTCTATACAGGTTGTTATTCCAAGCTACTTGATCGCCCTTGTTGTTGGTCCTCTAGTCAGTCAGTGAGTAAAATATATACATAAATACTTTCACCCCTAATGGTGACCTAAAAAAATTCAAATTTTGTTTGGTGAAATCCTAAGAAATAAACAACACTTTGAAAGAGTCCTGGCAAAGAAGTTTCATTTGAAAAGTAAAACCACTGGATTTCGTTCTTAGATGAAAAAAATTGCAATGACAAAATTAAAAATCTCTTCCTAACATGGTATTGGAATGATCAAATGGGTAACATTTGCTATCATTGCTATATTGTACATGTACGTTAATTAATGATCCAGGTAAGGTGGATATATAGCAATTTCTTTTGTTATGCGGCAACGGTGCTTTCCCCACGTAGGAATGTTCTCATTTTTACATAGAGAATGCATAAACCTACACGAAGGCCGTTTAGGCAATACAATGCATTTACACTCCACTTTGAAAGGGTGTTTTTTTGTGTTAAAAGATTTTGACCAATCACAAGAGTTGAAAACAATAGCGAAGAAAAGTTTACAATAATTTTGCATGTTCCCCACATAGGATTTCTTTGTTATTCAAACTGAGACCAGATTTTGTTATATGGAAGACGGTTGGAAAGTAAGGATGAACATATGTACCGCTTTACGAAGTTTTGGTTAACTTTTGCTGTTTAAGCCAATCAGAAGTAAGTACAGACAATAGAAAAGTTAGCACCTTTTTTTGCATTCCAACATGTTCATTGCCGTTGTCGCTATTGTTCTTTCTTAATAGTTATTGCATGTATGCACCGTGGGATTTGAAGCAAATAAATCCTTATTTTTCAGGCAAGTTGGTCCTCGTTCCAAGGTGTGGACAGAAAGAGAAATGCTTGAAATCAGTGCATGGGAGTTTGCAGAGGTGAGCCCTTTTGCCCTATGGACTCTTTTAGGAAAAAAAACATGCAGTAGCAAAATTGTTAAATAACAGTAAAGTCAATGACATTGTCCGACTACACCTTATTTGACAGAACTCTAATCTGCAGGTTTCCCTGTGATTACATGTACTGCCTTGTTCCTTGGATGCATGCCATGAATTATTTTGCATCTTGGGGATTTTTATGCATCAGGGCTGCAGGACACACTGGTATCAAAATCACTGAGGGCATGTTATTTTATTTGCTTAACTGGCAGGTTGAGTCTCAGCTGGCTGTTGCTGAAGAGATAACATTTCCATATGTCTGGGGAACATATGACCTGTTGATTCTACCACCATCATTTCCATATGGAGGAATGGAGAATCCCTGCCTTACTTTTGTAACACCGACATTGTTGGTTGGAGAGGGGGTAAGATGTTTGTCAATCAACATAATGTTGTACTGACTGTGTGTCACCAACTTCTCTGTGTAAAGAGTTTATGACTGAATATTGCTATTGAGTATTATCACTGGTAATATCATTGTTATCATTATCTTTTTCTTTCCTGCAGGGTGGAAGACCTCTCACTGATGTAAGTTATGTTGTTGTTATTATCTTTTCTTTTTTCTGCATATTTAGGTATTCCTCATTCTTTGAGCGGTCCTTTTGCCTTCCCCCGGGGGAGGGGGAGGAAGGTGGGGTGACTCCCTATAATGGCCTATACATACATGTACATGTAAGCTCCGCACGAAAGGGGTACTATTTTCAGGCTTCAGTTATATGAGCCTCTCCGTATAATTTTTTTTGAAGTATCCCCCGGGTGTCTTCCTAAATGAGAAAGAGAAAAGGAGGCTCTGCGTGAACTGTGACAAGCCTTTGAAGTCTGCGGGGCTTGAACTTTTGCACGAGTGTGAGCATCCATTGATAAACCAATGGTCATGACTGAGCCTGCTATACAAGAGGCACGGCTGGGCTAGAAACTGTATCCCAGCTACAAGCGGTACATGCTCAACAATAGTCTGAAATGTTATCCGTTTCTTCGTCCCTCGCCCTACCCCCCTTAATGAGTGGCAAGAGATAGCCTCTTTCGCCATGGAGGAGACAGATGACATTTCAGACTTCCTCAACAAAGACATTACTCGATTCATGTAGAAGTCTTTTTCGTGTACTCCAAAATCGAGCATGTAGAAAACGGTTTTGTTAGCATGGTGGAGATACCCTTTAATGGTGCAACGATAAACCGCCTTTTATTGAAATTCCACAAGGGAAACCTGGGAGCTTTGGAGTGACTTGTATTTCACAGGTTTCTTCAAGGCGACACGGTGAAAAAAAAATTGATATATATATGCACATAAGTTTTTTTTCTCACTTATCAGGTAGTGGCTCATGAGATATCCCACAGTTGGACTGGAAATCTCGTGACTACTAAAACCTGGGAGCACTTTTGGTATGTAAGTGTGGCCGAGTCCGTCCACGTCAGTTTGTACATTGTACTACATTAAATATTACAGTCAGCTCTCGGTTCCAGGTAATTTCGCCCGTACCTCCATTCGCCCGTTAGGAGAGAATTGTAGAGATTGTCCATGCGTTGAAGTTGTAAGCATGTGAAGGGGGGGGGGGGGGGGGGGCAAAACCGCGGGGGGAAAGGGAAGGGGGGGGTGAGAAGGGGGGGGTAAAACGGGGGGGGGGGGGGTGGGAAAAGGGGGGGGGGGAAAGGGGGGAGGGGAGGAAAAGGAGAGAGGGGGGGGCGGTAAAAGGAATTAGGGGGGGGGGGGGGGGGGGGGGGGGGGGGGGGGGGGGGGGGGGGGGGGGGGCCAACGACGCGCTGTGAACGTGAACGGAAGTGTTAGAGAAGGGAGTTAACCTAGGAGCGAGGTGTCTGTGAAACGAGGTGACTGTAAAGTGGGATGAGCATGAAATGAGAAGCGAGGTGACCGTTAAGCGATATGATCGTGAAGCGAGATGAGCGTGAGGAAGTGACATGATTCAGCTTTAATTCGGAGCCCTCCAAAAACATTAATTTACAATTAATAATATTTAGAAATAAAAGTTATTTAGAAATTACCTCCTGACATACTTGTTTCCGTGCAGGTTAAACGAAGGGTTCACAGTCTTTCTAGAGCGCAAAATTCTGGGCCGAAGAAAGGGAGAAAAGATGGTCGATTTTGCTTACATAGGTAAGGGGAAGCATAAAGTTAACTTTGTGAATTCAATATTCGTATGAAGTTTATGTCCGTTTAATAAATGTGACTTTTCTAAAGAGCGTTTTACCTGATGCTGGTATGTAGGACTTTTAGACTTAGTGTGATGTTATGCTGTTCTGAGGGATTTGCTCTTTTGGCTTTGCATTCGTTTACATGTTGACGAATACTCATTTGTAGTAAACTAAACTCAGAGTTTTAGGAAACGGCCGAATCCACATAGTTTCAGGTTCTTCCTTTATATGCTACATATTTTGGTGTTAGTTCATGTGCTTTCTAGAAGTCATCATGTGCAAATGACGGCATTTTTGAGAATCATTATTTAGGATTCAAAGTGTTATTGTCTAACCTTATTGGCTCACTGCACGAATATCTTTTACGAATATCTTCATATTTTTTTCTTGGAAAAGAAGGCAGGGCATTTTGAAGAAATGATCAAATCGTTTTTTTCTTTTTAATAGGTGGTTGGAAAACACTGAAGGATGCAGTAAGTTAATAATAGTTTGCATGTTCGTCAAAATATAGCTAATATTATTAATAATAATGACAATTATGGTGATAACGTTAATAATACTTTATAGCTCTTATGGCAAAGTTTTGATGACTGGATCACCATAACAAAATAGTTGAACCTGAAAAAATGTGCACGCGGCAATCCTGAAAGGTAATATGGGATATGATCAGTACACTGTTCCTGACACTGTAGCTGTCAAACCTGCTTTTGTTGCTTTCCTTTAGCACTCACAGACATATGTCCATGGCCTCTCGTGCCATTCTTTCAAATTTGAAAAACAGTGAACTCAAAAACAACCCACAATACCTTTCGGGGTTGTCGCGGGCACTTTACGGACACCTACTTTATATAAACACTAGGTCGTAGTCCCAGGGACATACAAATACAGTCCAGGCCAGAACTAAGCGAACCACAATATACGCGTAATATGCGTCAGGCCGGACACATCCATGCCTTTGAGCTGACGAACATATGCGTCTGCTCTGAAATGTGTCAGTGCACATTAAGACGCATTAGTATGTATTAGCTATCTCTTTGTTTAGAAGTAATGTTTGCAGTCGGTAAAAAGTCAACAAGAATCAAACGGATTGGCAACAAACACTCAAACAATTCCCTTAAACGGGTATTTCTCCTAAGCGGACATCAATTTTGTGGTCGCTAAAATGTCCTTACTGGAGGCTCGATTATACTTGTTTGTTTAGCTTGCTAACGACTCTTAGTCTAAGCTCTCTTTCATCTTTTTATGAACAGCTGAAGCAGTTTCCAGATAACAGCCCCAAGACACAGCTTGTAGTGGACCTTAAGGACACGGATCCTGATGATGCATTCTCTAGTGTGCCTTACGAAAAAGGCTCCTGCTTTTTATACTACTTGGAAAAGATCCTCGGAGGACCAGGTTAGATGTTAACAAAATAACATTATAACATGTATTAATACTAAAGGAATATCACGTTTAATACTAACCTAATAAGAAATAAAGAATTATGTTTAAGGTTTGTTATGGCATCCGGGAAAATTTGTAGTCATGGCGTTTTTTGAACCGTTGATTCTCATGGATTTAAAATGTCGTTGTTGTTTTTGTTTTTTGCTTTGTTTTCTTTGTTTGCTTGTTTGCCTTTATTTTGTACATGTATAGTTTTTGTTTTCATTCGTTTTTTTTTCTATGATAATGGTACCATAAAAACTGAATATATTTTCAATGTTTTACAAAGCATGTGCCTCGTAATTATTATTTCTTTATCCAAATTTTATCGCAAATTTCACATGTTCTCCTACAATGATTTTTTTAACCAATACTATTGGGGTTGGATAACATATAGATGTGTAGTGAGAGTAACTGGCAGTATTTTGAACCAGTTAGATACTTAAATATCTCCATGATTGTTCTCACTTTATGCATTGCGCGCGAACTCTACTTTTTACCTCAAGGAGTTATTCTTTTCTGATTCATTCATTTATCGTTGCAGGGGTTTTTGAACCTTTTCTCAAGAAATATTTGGAAAAATACCAGTATCAAACTGTTACAACAGATGATTGGAAAGAATGCCTGGAGGAGTATTTCCATGATAAGGTGATGACAAAAATTCTCTTAGAACCTCTCAATTTCGTTAATAAGTCGAAATGCAAATGCAATAGAATTCAACAGCCTGCTTTTTAGGAGATTTTCGGGTGTGGTTTTCGTTGGTTCTTCATAAAGTAAGAGATTCGGCTGCGCTAAAGCTAAGCGAGGTCAAACGGGAAAACATGGGGGAGGAGGCGAAGTAAAGGAGGCAGAGGCAACACCCGCAGTTCTCTCACTGCCTTCTTACTCTCTCTCCCCGCCCTCCTCTTAGGTTTAGCTTTGAGATCGGTTCAGCTTTCGTGCAGCCGTGTCTCTAAACTTCTCGAAACACAAACGAAAAACACCCAACAAAACCGCCGGTGATACGGTTAGATAATCAGTTGAGAACTCATCGTTTTGCCTCCTTATTTTTCGTAATGGAATCATTTTGTTTGAGTAAAATAAAATACGGGGAATCACGTTTCATCACAATGAGAGACACCTCGAAGTGCATCTAAAATATTCTGTTGGCTACGCGCCAACCTTGCAGCCACAATGACTTAGGCAATGAAGACGTTGCTTAATAATGATAATGAATAAAACTAATAATCGTCTTTTGCCGATTTTTGCTCCCGATTTGGTATTTTATGGCCACATTTGGTTGTTTTATGCTCCAAAGTAGATTTTCTCAAAAGTCCAGGTACTTTGCGTAATTTTATTGAGAAAAATTTAGTTCCCTGAATTTGTCAAATTTCGGCGAGTTCTAGGGTAGTCGATTTTTCAATTATCTTACTCGGGCTTATAGGAAAAGGGAAATTAGTCTCTCGGGTGTGTTCTTGTTATCCATAATACGTGGCTCTAGCAGAGGACAGCAAAGAAATAAAACAAAAGTGTGACGCACTTTTTTTCGAATTTGTTTGTTTGTTTGTTTTAATGATGATGTTATTGCTGATGTTGACGGAGTTGCTGCCGCCACCGTCGTTGCGTAAACTCGCTATTTTCAACTCTCTTATCGGACAGCTTCAAGTCCTGTGTGATAAGTTCGTCAAAAATTCCCTGCTACGCGCGGGTCGCACTATCAAAAATCTTCTTAGTGTGTGATATGTGGTAGGTCTCGTGGTTCATGAAAAAAAATGAACGGTACCTCGTACCATTTTTGTTTGTCATATATTTAAAAAGAAGTGTGTTTGTAACTTCGCTCACGTTCAACATGCAGAAAGATGCTTTGAAGCAGGTTGATTGGAAAGCTTGGCTGTACACTCCTGGCATGCCCCCTGTTGACGTGATTAAGTGGTGAGTAAGACCAGTACATACTGCATTGGACAAGTTGTTCAAAGGTCAGTAAGCGTATATTTAGGGTAACAGTAGCCTGTGCCAGGCTCTCAGATAGTATAGTGCGGACGTATTAAAACGAGCAAAGCGAAAATAAGACGGGGGCGACTTGGGCCCCGCGCGTTTTTCGCATTTCTTTTTACTGAACGACTTTTCACCACTATCTCGGAGCCTGGAACAGGCTAGGGTAACAGCTACCGTGACAAGTCATACGCTCAGTTTTCAGCTGTCCAAGGATAGAACTATGTCTACACTATAGTGGATAGCTTATCATACCCCTCCCCTAAGCTAACATTTTGCCGCAACTGGGAAGTCAAGTGTTTATGCTGGCTTAGGGGAGGGGTAGGTGGGCAGTTTCCCCGAAATGTATAATGATCCAAAAATTCTCCAGCCCAGTATGAAGAGTGACGCAAAAACTTATCCGAAAGCTGTGGACACACTATATTGCTGTCCTCGAAGGATCTTTAGACCAGCATTTAGAAGCAGTTTTCTGGCCAGAATTTGCAGTTTCAGGGCCATTTAAAACAAAGAATGGGTCACAAAAGTTCACTCAGTGTATAGTTTTCAACTGAAATTTGTGTCATGTTAGAAACACTGGAATAAAGTCAAATGTTTTAACGTGCTGTTTAAAAAACGAGCAGGAGTGTATTTTCAGGTTTTAAAAAATGTACCTTGGCCACCCGTGAAAAAAACAAACAAACAAACACAAACTCAAAACAAAATTGCATAAGCATTGTTTTCTCTTGGGATGACTGTAATACCCAGGAGAAGTAAAAAACCAAGGTTATCCAAAATTATGGGAGGCAAACAAGGTTTATTACTGGAGATGCGCAAATGGTGAATTGACCTTTATTAGGAGTACAGGATTAAAGATCTAAACACATTGTCTTTGTTAATTAGGTATGACACCACTTTGACCGTTCCATGTACCACCCTGTCTGACAGATGGCTAAAGGTTGGTTAACCCAAAATGTTATTGTTTTTTACGAATATTATGCAGAATATTTTCCGTGCTAACGCTGTTCTAGTATAATTCAAACCTACTTTTAAATATCCCCCGATGGTTGGAAAGGAAAGGCACCAAAATAAATCTCACAAAAGAATGTCCAGCCCTATAAGGAAGGTAGTTTTCAACATAAATTGACGCTTAACAAATTACTCATTTTGACTTGACACCCAGGGACCCAGGGGAGAGAGGTACCGCCATATACAGTGGTAGGGGTAGAAGCTTACAGTGCTGTGAACGTTAAAGGTTCTGGTTCATAGTTAGTCTGAGATAGGACAGAGATTTTTGGTGCCTGGTATAGTGTAGCACAATTGCAGTTGAACATATTCTGGAGTGCGTCAGGGGTTCCACGTTCCCAGCGGCACAGCCCCACCCAAACATACCTAGAGTGCCCCCCGCGGACATAACTTACATCTTTGATCTGAGCAGCCAAATCAACGATGTTGCAAACCAGCAAGGCCAGAAACTATAGGACCATAGCCTCCCTTCCAGACTTTCTTAGCGCTTCGCAACGCGTTAGGCGTGACCAATAACGTCTGCGTGGGAGGCTGCCGTGACTACAGAAACAACAGTTCTACTTCTTTAGGCCTAACATGTATCTCATCTTGAATTCCTAATATTGCTCACATGCATCACAGGCCAGCGAAGGAGATATGGACTCATTCTCTGCTGATGACATCAAGGACTTCACACCTCCGCAAGTTGTTGAATTCCTGGCGCAGCTTGTTGACAAGGTAAAGACAGTGACCAGAAACCTGTAGATTCGAGGACGAGATTTGCGTTAAATTTTTGACTTATTCTAAAAAAACTATACACCGCGGAAAGCTTCATTGTACGTTTTTCCACCAGAAAAGGTAGCACTATTATAATTATTAAAGAGGGTTAAGCCCTCCCTCGATCCAAAAATGGCAAAACTTCTATCACTTGATAACTTATTTCCGCTACTTCGATTTTCTTGCTAAAACTCATGACGACGGCTATCACGTTTTCCCGCCAAAATGACTCTGGTTCACGCGTGTGCACCACTTATTAATGAGAAAATCTCGTACTCCTTGTCCTCCTCGTCTTAAGGTCTTCACAACCCCGCTTACACGGCCATCTTGGCAATACAGTCCAATTTTTATGACCCGTTTGTGGCCACGTTGACGGGGTTTCACTTCCAGGTGTTTTCAATGTATTTAACTAGCTTTTGCCTTTTTTCATCTCGCGTAGACGACTACCGGGAAGCCGTTTGCCCTAACGCACCTAAAGAGGATGGATGAAGTTTATGACCTCACTCCGTCAAAAAATTCTGAAATCAAATTTAGGTGAGTCAGTCTCTCAACCATTCATTTAAGTAAGTAATGAACCGGCTAAATAACTAGCTAAAAAATACTTAGTTTGAACGAAGGTGGCAGTGAAATCATTTTCTCTAGCATTTAAAAGCTAACATAGACGGAAATGCTTAATGTTCATTCTAGCGTTTAGATGTTACATTCCCGTTTTGTATACTAATGACCTTCTTTCTCATACCCTAGTAAGTGGCATTTCTTCATGTCCATCATTGCCCACCCTTTGGAGTGTAAGGTGGTGTTCTAATAGCTCTTTCCTTGATATCCCCGGTTTGTTTACTGTACTCTTGTCTTAAATTACCATATAAGCATCTAATAATTGCTCTAGAGGGAAACATTTGATTTTGTTTCCTGAAGGACCAATGTATGAAATTAAATCTCAGCGAGCAGTCAACATTCGATCAGTAAACTGTTACCCTCTGACGTCATAAATGCTGCAATGTTGTCCGCTCAGAGACTTTTAGCGGGAAACACTTTTATTTGTTAGATGTCGTGTGACCTCGTAGTAACCAATGAGAGCGCGCATAGCTAGGGAAAAAACTTCAGCTTTATAATGATGGATTTTATAACAATTGTTTTCCTTGTAGGTGGTTGAGACTTTGTGCAAGAAGCGCCCATCAGGATCGTTATCCTGAAATAGTGCAGTTTATTATCATCCAAGGACGAATGAAGTTCATCAGACCATTGTACAAGTAAGCACTGCACCCCTTACGAATCTTCCATTATCCTTCTTGCATACTTATTAGCATTTAGTTATGAGAAAGTCAGCCTAGTCGAGCAGGCTCGCTGGGAAAGACCGTAGGCGCTACTAGAGTAAGCCGAAGGGGTGGGTGGGAGGGCGCAACTCCAACTGAAGTTAGTCTAAATGACAAGTGAAAAAAATTAACCCATGCTTGTATATTTACGCGAAGTAAAATGAATATTGATAAGGTATAAGAAGTGCACCTTACGATGTATAAAATCGTCGAATTTGAGAACCCCCGTTGCCGTCCGTCCACACGAAAACGGTGATCCCGCGTTTTGAAAGATCGCCACACTAGGGATTGTTTTATTAAAAAAAAAACCTGTGTTTGTGATGCCCAAAAAAGGCCTTTTACATGTACACAAAAGGCTAAAACAGGGCTCGAAAAAATCCCGTCCGGTGGTCTAGGACAAGTGGCTTACTTGCCCAATGAGCAAGGCTCTGAGCAAGTAACCTCTAACAAAGTCATTAACTAAGACGAGCAAGAAGTGGCCCCCGGCAAGCAAGATGGAAGAGCTGCATGGCCGAAGGACAAGCTGCAATTCAAGTTTTTTTCACAAGCGAAGGTTTCGGAGTCAGAGTCGTAAGCGGAGTCGTAAGAGAGCTTATGACCTAGTGAAAAATCAAAAATCGGAGTCGTAAGCGGAGTCATTAGAGCGACGGAATCGGAGTCATAACAGTCAAAACATTTCCATTTCTTCCGACTCCGCTTACGACTCGGTCGCTTACGTTCCGCTTATAATTTAGTGAAAACCAGATTGTCGGAGTGGGAAGCAGGAGCGGAAGGATAAACCAATTACAGTGCACGTTCCCACGCTCTGTGATTGGTTTAGTTCTTCCGCTTCAGCTTGCGACTCCGACGACCCAGTTTTCACTTGATCGTAAACGGCGGAGTCGTAAACGGAATAAGAAGAATGAGAATGCTGTTTTCACTAGATCGTAAAGTTTTACGCTTTCGATTACGACTCCAACCCCGATTCCGTCGCTAGTAAAAACCAGCCTTAAAACGGGGAAAAAAAATCTCCGTTTTCAAAAATATCTGGATTCTTGTGAACGGGGCCTAATTCTTCCTTTTTTTATTTCTTTAGGGAGTTGTATGCGCGTGAGGAGTCAAAGAATTTAGCTATAAAAACATTCGAAGAACATCGAGATTTCTACCACCCTATTGCCGCAACACAAGTAGCAAAGGACCTCAACCTGGAATAAACGGATGAATAGTGAAAAGAAAGAGCGAGATAAACGAATGGGAAATGGACGACCAGACTATTTATTTGATTGACGTAGACGCGGACCGCGAATAATTATAAGCCCTATTGAATGCTAGAAAAAATAGAAATCATGATCTGAAATTACAAGATGCTTCTTATGGAGAGATTCTAAAAACATACGAGTTTAAACTAAACATAAAAAGAAAGACTGGAGTAAAATAGTTATTGATGGCCCACTTGTTTGTTTTAGTAAACCAAGAAACAAGGATATTGCCGCGCGTTTTACGGAATATTTGCGACAAGGATGATTCGTACAGAGAGCTTTTATGAGTCTTTATGAGTATTATTGTATTATGATAATGTCGCGCTCGGCGTCCCGTTCTTGGCCTCCAAAACGCTCGAACCAGTACCCCTGTTTAGTCCATGACTCATCTATTGGAGGTGACGAGAGAATAAATCCCCGTAAAAAATTAATAAGTTTTAAAAATACTGCTTGTCTCTTTATCCCACTTTTCTACGTCCTTTTCCTGTGTTTCTAGCTTTCAGTCCCCCTTACGTCCTTAAAGGAGCTGTGTCACGAATTGTATCGAAGTACTAACAGTACAACTGCCACGAGACTAAGTGAAACTTTAAAATAAACGCTCAAGAACACTTGAACGAAAAGGCTCTACTTTATTGCAATCATAGTCGTCGCCCTCCCCCCTCCCCTATTTCGTTTTTCTTCTAAGCTATCAATACCTTTTACTTACAAATAAAATCTAAAAGCACTAAGATTCATGTGCGCCTGTAAATAACCCGTCAACAAATTCAAATGTGTTTGCGGTTTTCTTAACTATCTTTAACTGGGGTCGCATGCCACAATTCCTGGAAAATCTGTCACAGTGAAATGACCGGACTGAGACTAAGAGACTCCCCAAGCAAAACCGCTGGGCAAGAAGGAAAAGAAAAAAAAGGTGATTTTTAGCGGAGCTCTCGCGCGCGCAGCGGAGCACCATGGGTAAGAAAATTTTGGTTATCCATGCATCCGAGGAATAGGCCACTTCCGAGTTCCAAAAACCCTCACTTTCAAAATGAAGCCAAGTGCACAACCTTTCTTGTGAAAATGAGTTTCATTTGCATGAGAATGTAGAATCATTTCCATATCAAAGGCTGAGCACTTAACCTCGTGTTGATAAGACCGTACGACATTTCCTCCAAAAAACGTGTAACCAGGAAGTTTCTGGAAGTTTCACGTTGAAGTCGTGCAAAACAACGGCAAAGAAATGTACAAAAAAATGTGCTGCACGTGCAAAATTGTTCTTTTTTGGCTAGTTAGACCTGTTATTGTTTTTTCATCGTTCTCGTTGCCTTCGCCGCTTAGCATTACACGATTTCGTATCTTGTTTGAGCACACTTTGAATACAAACAAGAGCTTCGCTTTTAGCCCCGGCTAAATCTACATATTAGGGATGAACAATCCCTTTCTTTTATTCTGTTGCCCAAAACCTTGGAGACAAATCTGAATTTGATATATCGAACTGGTTTATTGAAGGGTCATTTAGTTTCCCCGGGGTAAACCTACCAATGAAATCCGAGTTCTGGACGATTTTGCGAGTACAGTGCGTGATTGGCTACAAAGAGCAAACAAACAAATGAGATTTAATTTCTGACAGAAATAAATGGTTTTATGCTGACTGATCAATATTGTATTTTTCCAGCTACCAGCAAAGGAGGGTTTTCCTGTCATCCGGGTGATTTGTCACGAAAGTGTCATTTATGTCACGGGTCATGTAAGTCACGGAAGCGAGGCAAAAGGCCTCCTTCCTCGCGTTACAAGACGTACAGTCCAAAATATCCCATAATGGGTTTGTGATTACTTTGTGTCCCAGCAAACAGAGCTCATCCAAAGCGAGACTCTGCCAACATCAATAACTGACTTAATATGTAAAGCAACGTGAAGCATAAATGAGAGAAAATGTTCTTTTCGAACAGTGCTGTTTTTCACACTTTTTTCATCATTATTATTTTATTCATTTATTTATCTTCTGGCATAAAAAATTGCTTTCTTTTGTTGATACGTGTTTATATATTGGCGCAAACAGAAGGAATCTTAAACGCGATAAAAGACTTCCTAGGCGACAGGCAGAAAGCTTTTGCCGTACAGGAATACATCAAGAGCAAATAACAAAGATTTCTGGCTTACCCAGTGAAGCATAATCAACCTTTGTTTCTGTTGGGTTACACGTGCAATGGTAAAAGCCAATCAGGAAACGCTATTCTAGTCACGAGGTATCTGGTGGCGCCAAATTTAAATTTTAAAGGTATGTTGGCGAAGGAACATGCAAATTTACCACCAAATGCTGCCAACGATTCTGTGGACTCTAAGAAGAGAAAAGTTCTCCTTTACAAGCTTACTTATTTCGTAGTAGTTTTTATCTTTTACACCAGAATGCTAAAAGTAATATCATGATGGGATTACTCGACTGGCTGAATTTAAACGGAGAGGTATGTAGATGTTGCCTTTGAGAGCATAATTTACGTTTAGTTCAGTTGCAAAGGGTACTCTTAATGCGAAGAGCGGCACAAATATATGCTATTTTGTAGCTTAACTTCCATATTTGTCAATACTGGTAATCTTGCTCATCGAGAATTAATGTTTGGTCATTGCAGAAATTACGAGTGGAATTAGAACTACCGACAAACTCAAATATCCATGGTTATTGCCTCACAAGAATCAACACGTGGCCAGCACGGAATACAGCAACAACTCAACCTTAAGAAGGTACTAGACTTGCTTGTCTTTCAAATAAGCCTTTCAAGCCTTACTTGCTTGTCTTTCAAATAAACCTTTGCTTGTCTTTCAAACTTTAGCATTTTTAGAGAGGGAATAACTTTGTTTCAGTAACTTTTTTTTATTGAAGCATTGCAGCATTCGCTCCGTATGTGACAACAACTTGACTTTCCAAAATGTGGCAACCTGGAACTGGTTTTCAGTTCTCTAGTTTATTATTGAAACTGATCAATTACTAGATTTTTTATTGAAATTTTGTAAGATTTACAGTATTCTGATATTAGTACTGAAGCTAGATTTTTAACAGTAAGATATTATCCAATTGTGACGCCGGTTATTTATTTTTTTGGTAAAATTTCTGCTTGGCCCTTATTGCCCAGCACGTTCATAAGCGTTTTAACACTCAAAAGTGCTCTCATATTACATTATGAGTCGGATTTCCTGCATAGTAAAATACACATGGAGTCATATACGATTGCTTTTTCATGCGTTTCTCAGCCAACGATAATTAAATAGGAGGATTTTTACCAATTATAAGAAACCGTTCTGGCTTTCCCTCAATTGAATGCTGAATGGAGAACAGGCACATTGAGATTTTTAAATGCGCCATATCATGTCATTATTATTATTATTATTATTATTATTATTATTATTATTATTATTATTATTATTATTATTATCATCATCATTATCATCAGTTTGGACCGTACCTGGTATTTACTTTCGAACAAAAGTCGATTTCTGTTGGAGATCATACTGGTAGGTGACGTCCCAATGATGGCTCCCAGCTATTTTTCTGATATAAATGGCTTGTCCTCCTATTAGGAATGACCTTTATATCTTGCCACTACGAAAACCATTTGTCTTGACTTTCTCAAAAACAAGACCTAAATCTTCCGAGAAGAGTCCTTGTACGCAGCCCAAAGTATGCTTTCTGAGCTCTTAGTGGCTATACATGCATAAGGTTATGAGAGAAGAAAGAGAAATGATCATCCTAAGAAATAATGCCTTCATTCCTTCACTCCTCAGATACTGATCGCCAAACCAGACCAACTTCAGTGAGTCGGACCACCAAACCAAACCAATGTCACTCCGTCAGACCAACAGACCAGACCAGACCACCTTCCCTTAGTCCACCAATCAGCTTGACATTTTCACTGAACGCCCAGCCAGCAGACAGACTGCTGATGAGCCACTTTTAATACAGGTCAGGTCCATTCCTTATGGGTTGGGTCAAGGGAGGTCAATTCATAAAGCTCTGGTTGGACCTTGCAAAGCATACTATCCACACACGTTCGGCTTGAAGTCCCTGGACTTCTACTTTCGGCTTAAATTAATCGTAGTTAGATTAGCTAGCGGGTTCCCTGGGCTGGTAAGGGTCTCCCCTTCCCTTTTCAATAGTGGGTTGCTTTGCAGGTTTTCGGTCAACGTTAGGAGTTCGGCTTTTCAAAAAAATTTCGGCTTCGATTCGGTTTCTCTTCGTCTTTCCGACGGATGCATTTCACCGTAACGTCATCATCGTCGTCATCGTCGTCGTCCGCGCTGCATTCTCCCGCTTAGTCGCGCCAATTTGAATGATTGAATTACACTTCACTTGGCAGTTAACGCTCTGGGCAAGTGAGGCTTTTATTCGCAAGGTTCAACCAGAAAATGTGTTTTTTGACAAAATTTAGGAACCTAGAGACTACAGACCATTCAATTGCTGTGCGGAGACCCCATTTGGTCTCACCGTAAGAGTTGAGTGGTTTCTCTGGTTCAGGGAGTTAATTAGTTTAGCCTCGCAAATTTGAGTCGGTTTTACCTTTGAAATGACTCAAAAAGTAAGTTTGCGAACCATTTAAACTACAGTATAAAAGGCAAAGATAAGAAGACCGACAAAACAAAGTCAAAGTTCTGATCGATGTGTATTTAACGACCAAATTTGTGAGCGTAGTGCATTGTACAGTTTATTAGTCTTACAAACCTGCGACCAGGCGTTCCTTCCCGAGAAGAGATAACGCTTTGTCACAGGTTATCAAGGGAAAGATGGGACAACGCACACACCCTAGGCTAGACCGTTTACAAATTGTGAGCGTAGGCAATCTTCGAGATCAATCTACGACGCAGTTTCATCGCTGGAGGAGGACCAACATCGAGCTGAAGACCACTGTTAGTGAGGATAGAAGCCTGTGGGGTTAGACACATGAATGCCATTGGCTGCAATCATATTTCGGGAACACGTATATGTCGGAGATTCATAAGATCTTCCTTTGCGGGTTTCTGAATTTGCGCTCAATGTCACTCTTTTGTATATCTCTTAGGTTTTAGATAGACTAAAAGGTTAAAAGGGAGGTTTCTCTCGTTATGACATGATTGACACTTAGAGAAAGGCGTTTCTCCTCTTGTTAATCTTGCCTTGCGAGAGATTTCTCCTTTTAGGAAGCCCTGCATTGCAGTACGCAGGCACTGATCGTCTACAAATCGTAGGCGTAGGTAGTCTTCTCATCGAAAGTCCACTGGTAGAGGATACTTCGCCATGCTGGAATTCAGTTCAATGCCAGGATGTTTCCGCGCGTCCCTCTGTACAACAACGGAAGAAGCCGGCCGAAGAAAGAAGAACACAGTTCATCGAACGTCGTAGAAAAGTTAATGAAGTTAGTTAAAAGTAGACGAGGTAGCTGCCATTGCGGCGGCGAAAGAAGGCGACGAAGAAAACGCTCTTTAACCACACCAGTGATGAAGCTGATGATGATGAAGAGGACGTTTATGATGACAATTTGCACCTCGAAAAAATTCTTGGATATGCATGCTAACCTATGTCAAGGGAACATCTTGGTGCAAATGGCCTACTGATTAGAAAGGAGGATAGCCAGAGTAGAAAGGATTTAACATTTGTTTTAAGCTGT